GGATTTTGCCAATTATGTTTTTTCCTAAATCAGTAGCAAGTAAGTCTTCCCAGCCCTGAATGCTCTTACAAGTCTGATCTGGTGTTGGAGAAGTTGGGGTTGTTGGAGAAGCTGTAGTGGTTGGGGGCTCAGCTGAAATGGACAAACAAACACAAGCAAGCAAGCAAATAAAAAAATTAAGTTGTGCTGAATTGAGTCTGCCATCCTTGCATTTATGATGCCCTAGCTTTTTCCAACCTTGTTTTTATCACTAACAAGACGAAACGAAAAAAGCAGATGCACAGTTAGCAGATGCAATGGACCAGTCCTGCGTTGTGATCAAAGAAGTGAGAAGCAGAAGCAATACACAACATTTAACAGAATTATTTACTTTAAGTTTATGATTAAGAGCAATTAATTTTTTCTTAGAAATATTTGACGAATTAATTAATCAGACCCATTATAAGTGCACACTCTCACATTTAAGCTTTAGTTATTAACTTATGTTACTAACCGCAAGCTGTGTCTGCCTGCCAGAAGGGCAGCTTCACTCCCGCAACCTGACATGCTGTTGCATAGGACTTCAGAGATTCACACAAGGTGTGTTGGTCCCCATTTGTGGCACAATAGTCGTACACACAACTATTAAGGTAGATGTCGGGGTGAACAATTTCATGGCAGGGATTGAAGGCATCCTTCAGTAGTGTGTTACACTCATTGTAGGCATCATTCTCTTCATCATAGTCACAGACTCTCGGGTCATTTGGATAGACAGTACACCTGGAGGGGAAAGTTCAAACAATAAAACAGGTTAAACATTTGGAATTATGATGCAAACAATAAAGTAAGGTGTGGTGGTTTGGTTAATAATTTTGTATTGATACCTGAACTTTTATGCTGATACTAATGCAAATTATTGCCTCTTGCAATTCCTTGTCAATAGCCATGCAAGTGGCTCTGTTAGGCTCAAGTGGAGCTTTTAGCAAATGTTGGATTGCTAAAATGTTCACAATTACAATGCTAACATGCAGATGTTAGCGGATATCATCATTTTCAGGTTCACTATCATGCTGTTAGCACTCAATACAAACTAGGACTAAGGTGAATGGGAAAACATTCAGCACCCACTGTGTACTTTAGTCTTTTTTGTTTTTGATGACATTTACGTTTTCCTTTTGGAGTTATGATGTCATTTATTCAGTGTGCTGATACCCTGCAGTGTAAAATAACTCACTCATCATGGTTCGGCACCCTCCAGCTGTCACCAAACTCAAATGGCTCTGTAACGTTTTGGCCTCCTGGGGTTACGAATTCATCGCCCTGGTATTCGGAGTAGGTGCCACACAGTCCGCACAGCTCGTACTTGTAGCGCTCATCCACCTGCACAAAGAGTCTGCTCTGCCCATCTACCATCACCCGGAGGCCAAAGGCCGCCTCCAGAACAATATAATTATTCTTCATGTAGGCCCGTATTAAGCCGTAGGTTCCATCAGTGATGTAGGGGAGTTGGACACGGCTGTTATTTACCTAGAGAGAGGAAAAGCCATTAATTATACAGATTTTTTTCTAGTAAGAACTGTTTGGTTTTAAATAGCAAACACAAATTGTTAATATTGTTTTTCTACTGGGATAGTAAGTGCAACCAGTTATCTTTCAAATAACTGTTCAGGGTAAAGTCAAGTGGGCGAGTTATTAGTTTGTGTATTCTTGTAGGCCCCAGATGACAAACAAAAGGCTTCCTCCAATGACACTGAGTAATAACTGACTCTATTAACGGGTGTGCTGATACTAAAGTAATTTGTCACTGCTATTAATGAATTACTTCCGATAACACAGTGAAACAGTAAGTGGGCCACATGCAGTCCACAGGATGCATTGACTGGAAGCTGTTCAGGATCATACACACCGGTTTATGTTTATTTGTTATATTGTAAAGTGTTTTCATGCTTACATGGACCTCTCCACTTTGATTTAGGGTGAGGCAAAAATCTTCCACCTGTAGAGTCACAGCCTCCAGCTTGGACCGAGTGTAGTTCTGAAGGGGAGGATGCATGTTGTGTCCAATTACAGTGAACTGGACTGAGCCTTCTTCTCCACATGTTGTAGTCAGAGTGTAACTGCAGCCTCCTTGGAAGTCATAAGCCACCTTGTCAAAGGTGATGTAATGCGGATCGCCATACACCCTGCAGGTGGCGGGTTTGAATGGGAAGCAGTCTTTGACCCCTTCCTCGACCTTACAAACCTCTCTGTATGCGCATTGCATTGAGGTGCACCACAGATCATTATTACCCCTACATTGGCACTGCTGCTCGCACTCTCCTTCCACAAATGTGTCTCCTTTCTGCAGAGACAAGGAGGTGTGTAATAAATTATAGACCTGTAGATAAGAACAGGTGAATATTAAGTTGTTTTTACTTTATCTAGTTTACTTACCTCGTAGTGTTTCCCATTGTACCAGCACCCACAGTCTTCTGCTGGGACACACTTTCCCCCACTGAGTTTGAAGCCAGAGTCACACACGCATCGTTCCTCACAGTTTCCACAAGAGCCAGTTAAATCCAGACCGGAGCACACCTCTGGACAGCCATAAGCACATGAGTCATAATGGCTGTTCTCAGCACACTGAAGGGCTGAGGGGACACAAGAAAAGAAAGGCTGACTTTAATGTCACTCAATTATTACTCATTATTTGCCTCTATTTCAATGTCAATAAGTAACATACGGCAGAATGTGGAGTTCCTCCACATGGGCACAGCGACACCAGCCTCCTTGCAGATATCGCTGTAGACCTGTAATGTCTCACATAGCACCGCTGGGTCCCCATGAGCAGAGCACATACCGACCACACAGGCCCTGAAGTAACTCTCTGCCCCCAGAACTGATTGGCAGTCCGCAAAGGGCCCGGTGCTAGAGAGGAGTCTGCCACAGTACAACTCACTGGTGTACCCGGACTCCTCCTGTGGGTCACACTGATGAGGGACTAGAATAGTTTCACAGGAGGAGGTGCTCTGCCCAGTCTGCCAGCTCTGAGCCAAAGCCGTAGCATCTTGGGCGTTTGTACCATCAGGCTTGCGCAAGTCATCTTCCCTGATGTCGTTAAAGTTGCCACACAAGCCACAGGCCTCATTTGAATATGCGGACGGCAGGGTGACATGTACAGCCCCAGCGCTGTCAAATGAAACGGTCAGACCGAAACTGGTTTCCAGGACAACGGCAGCAGGGTTACTCTTGATGTTGACAGTGCCACTGCTGAGGCTCAGCGGAAGCTTCCTCCAGACCCCATTAACCTGAAGAAGAGGAGAAGTTTGAGTCTTCCTTACCCACTGCAATTAGCATATATACTGTTTCTGACAGTTTTTATGAAATGCAGGATACTGAAGCTAGATAAATCTTTGAGCATTGAGACAGCTGATAAGTGTGCTTGGGAGGCCAGGACACTGACTTTAAACTCTGCACCTTATGATAAAGTCAGTTTATCAGTAGAACTGACTGCAGATATGGGAACTGCATGATCTAGTACAATACTAAGCTCAACACTCATTTCAGCATAATGACAAGGTGCCTATAAGCTGAAGTTGTATAAACAGTACTTATGAAGAACAGTTTTATGAAGGTAATAGGAATACTATTTGTTTTGACAGACATGTTAATTCAGAGCTTTAGCATGGGTTGTTCTGCAAATTGCTGCCTCTTTTAGCTATTGTCCTCAGAAGTGTGGTGTGACAGAGATGAATAGCTTAACTGAGGAATCCGACTATAAAGAATTAGTGTGCCAAAAAGAGTTTATGGGCAAAATTGTTTAGTTTCTAAAGCAAAAGGAAAAACCATTAAATGAGGTTGTTTTGGATGTTTTTTGTTTGTGGTTTTTAATATAAATCAGACATAACTGGTCTGTTTCTGTGAGACAGCATGACATTTTAATCTGGGGGAAGGATACAATGGATCACAGTGCAAGTGCCTTTCTAAATTCCTGCTTCCCTTTTAAAGTAACTCACCACGACCCGGTGCATCTGTCTTTTCAATAGAGACACTCTGATGTTCCCTGTGTCCACATTGACCTGCTGAATGGCTGGCAGAGATGAGTTCCCGTTCTGCTTATTGACCACCTCCACACTGAACATGGGCAGGTCCTCAGTGGGTGAGCAGGTCTTAGCCAGTATGTAGGTGCAGGGGGCCATGAAGCGGAACAGCACTCCATCGAAAGTGCTGCAGTCTGTGTGACTGTGTATTGTACACGTCCCAGTGGTGGAAATCCCTCTGGAGCTTCCTCTATGAGGACCACAGGTTTGGCCTTGTGGGCACGTAGAGGGAGTGCAGGAGAGCTGGCCCTCAGAGCAGAGGCAGCGGGTGGACTCATCCGTCCATAACTCTGTGTTAGATTCACACTGGGGCCCTGTGAGGCAAATGACTGAGTAAACAATCACTTTGTAACTGCAACACCATCTGGTTTACAGTAATTGATTAATAACATTAATTAATCTGTAGTGATATTATTGGAATTTAGCACATTTCCTTAATGATCTCAAGTTATATTATTCCTCTTGGTGATCCGTGGATTCATGTTTTGTTGATTTAATCATAAAAATCTAAATCATTCTGTCTAATTAAAACAGAGAACTAATGAAACCAGATAGATGAAAGAATATTTTACAACTATAAACATTGAAGGGTTATCTGGCATATTGGGTTTTGCAGTTTCAGTCATCTGACATGTGTTACTACAGCTGTAGTCTGTTTTGCATTAACATTGTTATCACCATTTATACTATTTCCTAACATTGGTACCAAAAGCAGACGTTCAGATGGCTAAGAAGAGTGAATGAATACATACCACATGAGCCTCTTCTTACACCTATCTTGTTAATTGTGATCCGTCCCGCCATGGCCACTGCTTCAAGTACAACCTAATGTAAACAGATCATCTCTTTAGATATAAATAATTTAAAATAATTGATTCACCATTTCAGTTCATTTAAAGATCCTCTGGAAAGTGCCATTTTTCTTTATTTCTTTACCCGAGACTCCGGTTTGACGATATTCAGGGGGACAAACACTTGCGTCCATGAATTTCTGGGGAGGATGGGAGAGGTCCATATTTCTACCAGACCGTCGCTGCTTTTCAGGAAAGCTCTTAGTTCAGACCCATTAGCTGTGACTGGGCTCTGGTACCAAAACTCCAGACAGGCCTCGCCCTCCATGCCCAGCCGACCACTCTCAAAAATACTCACTGCAACATCCACTGGAGGTAAAAAGCTCAATAAGAAAATATCATGCACTAGATGCTCTTGGAATCTCCATAGATATTAACTACACTCACTATAGTTTTTGTCATTGCCAGTTGTTTCTAAAGTACAAATTCAATGACCTTCTAGTTATTGATATTCCATTCTTTTTAAAAGCACATAATATGAATAGTAGAATATATTTTTAACTACACACTTCAGGAATGGGCTTTTATATTGTGTCATATTTTCTAACCCCAAATGGGAAACCAATTCTTTTCTTTTGTTATTGTAATAAAATCAAGAAGTACATCTGTTGTGGTGCAATTATCATTAAATGCAAACTAGTTTTTTGTGCTAAATTTGAAGCCCAAGTGCAGACCCTTTACGTTGATTGCCCCTGGGAGAACACCAGGCTATAAAAGATTATTAGTCTGCTTCAGATCAATTAGCGATATGCAGCGAAGCACAGCCACAGTCAGTCTGTCTGCAGATTAAAACAGAACTGTGGGCTGATGTTACAAATCCTCTCCAAAGGGAGGGACGGAATGAAAGGTCAGGTAATCTCTCTGTGTCACACTGATCTCATAACTCCACTGAACTATAACTCGACGACTTTGAATTAAAACAAAATTTCATTATTTTGATATTTAAATCATCTAATACATGGGTTTACTGCAGTTAATGTTCTTTACCTGATATTTGTTGGTTTCTCGTCCAGTCACAGCTCAGATTGTTATGTCTGTCGTAGAAACATTGTGTAACATACTCTATGCAAGAGAAAAGGGGGTTGAGTTAGTTCTTACAGATTTGGCCGTTTTTTTTCTGACAAATTTAAAGATATAAACTCTGTACAGCTCAGTAGATCTACTTTATACCTGAATGTGTCCTCCATTCTGGTAAAGGAACCAATGTAAAGTCGTTTTCAGCTCTGATAAAGAAACAAGATTACAAAAATAATAGATTTGCTTCTGAAACAAATCTATAAAATACCTGATTGGTCTCATCTCATTAATTCTCAACACAAGCAACAGAATATTAAAATATAAAATGTCAGCTAAAATTTAAGACCCACCTGCACAGAGTCCCTGTCTGAGAGAGGAAGAGTAAAGTCGTGACCAACAAATCTGTGTGGACTCCTCCAAGCATAGCTGATCCCTTAACGGCAGCCTCTCAGCTGATCTCCCGTTGCTAATACTCTCTTCTGATGAGTCGAACAGTGACTGATGAGCAGTAACAGTATATGACCCTTTATCTGGCAGCACAGAGGCGTTGGCCCTCTTGTGTCCCTCTCCGAACCCAGTGGAGAGTTTCAGGCATTTATAACCCCCCCTCCCAACCCACCTAACCAGGTAACATCAGCAGTGGGTGGAGAAAGAAAACTGTGGGATGGGAAGACATGAAATGGACTGAAACTAAACTGTGGCATAGAGATATTCTCAGTAACGGCAGCTGCTAACACATTTACAGCAAATAGTGATTGTGTTGCTACGTCGTAAGACACTGTATGCAAGGTAGTTGCAATCTATCTTCCTGAAACACACACAACAAGGCATGTGTTCATCGTGACCTGATAATGTTGTATAATAACAGACTTGAAGAGTCCGTTTTATTATTAGGTGTATGTCAGCTAGATAACAGCACACACTTGAATAACAGGTGGAAAAGGAGTGATAAGAAGGACACATTGTGCGGAGGGTAAGTTTGTTAAGTAACATTCCTGTTGGTACGTGTCAACAGAGACGGTGGCCCAAAACAAATATTGGAGCACTTTAAAGCTGTCCAGTCGAACAGAAGGGTCTTTGTTAGGGTAGGAAAAATGCGTAATGCTTGTGTATGACCAGAATATAAAAATTCACCTGTCGCCAGTTTGCAGACATTCATTTTCTTTTTTTGTGCTTGTTTGCATAATGAATGACCATCCGAACTACAGGGATAATCAATGAGCTATCTAAAAGGCACCAGGCTTATGTCACAACAGACAGTTAGATCAAGGTTTTATCTGGTTCTCAGGTGTCTAGTGTGATGAATGTCTCAGGATGTGAGTTACTCATAAACTGAGAAGTAGAGAGCTGTGCATAGACTCATATTTTAGAGGCTGTAACGTGAAATAAAGCGGATGCATGGCTCCACAAGGTCTAGTCAAAAACCCGGATTTACACTTAACCACACTATACTATGTAAGTAAATGTGCTGGTATTCATTCAGTTAATGTTTTGTCATACTCTGTTACTTATTGCCTTTTCCTATAAACAGCATCACTCTAGTGGTTTTAAGTTGTCCATAGTAAAGTTGGAATTTGTAGTTACCCAATTAGGCAGATGGATAATAATAGCTATCAAATAGTTCTATATTTAGAAATTATGGCTGTGATAAATAATGGGAGGGAGCTGCTGTTGATAAGACCTGTCTCGGGGTATAAACCTATTTATGAATAAACCATAATGATGCATCTTTGTAACCAAGACTGTCAACAATGTGGCAACCTGTCTTACCCACCCAGAGGGGCATGATGTAGTGGTATACCTCAGGGGGGACCACATCAGTGTACCTCATAATTGTGTTCAAGATTGAATTATGACATAATCATTGAGAAAATGCTGCTCTATTCCATACCTATAATTCCATAAACCCACACGTGTCCCCATATCTCATAGCTCCTCCATGTCTTCAGCCAACAAATAAAATGGCTATTAATAATCAACCTCCCTCACAGGCAGCGGGAGAAGGAGCAACAAGGGGCCAAGACCAAGTGCAAAGCAATATACTGTCGGCTTTCCCAAGGATCACTGTGGGCTGCAGAAGCCATGACCCATGACTAACCATTAATAAGCCAGTGTTTTCTATTTTGATCTCCTCTTAGCTAGCTCTGCAGTGCTGTCAGGTAAAAATAGAACACCACAGTAAGGCAAAGGAATGTCATTTTGTAAAAGAGTATTTTTTTAAACGTATCTCAAGCAAAGCCTGTGACTTGGTCCCGCACAGTGTGTTCTGTCAAGATGGTAATGTCTACCATTAACCATTGCATAGTTCAGATGTTATCCAAGCATGTTTCCAGAAATAGTTTTTGAGGAGCACATGAACATGCCTGAACATCCTGTAATATTTAATTGTTGATTTACCACTTGGGGGGGTGGCAGTCATGGGGCTAGTGTGTGACAATTCTGTGACTTTCCAAGACCAACATCACTCATTCACCAGGAGCTTGAGATCTCTTAAGCTTTTTAGTCTCTTTTTATGTGCACAAATGAATGCAAGACTATGAATCGACCATAATTAAATAATTTTTCCATTTATTCCCTCTGTGCGAATGGGAACAGCGGCCCTCTGGGCTGCACACAAGACCGTTCAATTTAGCCCACTATGCATTTCCAATGCCTAAAAAGCAGCTTGTATAAATACATCCTCGTGACAGGACAGCCTTCAGTATCATACAGCTCGAAACTAATTATGAAATTTAGCTCTGACATCCAAACCATAAAAATTCAAAATAAAAAGTTCCACATTATTTTTTTTCTTTTTGACATGCCGTGATCCATGACCCCATTCATGGGCTCCAGACACTTGATCATGACTTTGGCCCTCAGAAAAACAACCATGTGCCTAAAACAGATTGCCCCATGGAAAACATTTGTCCCTTAATCTTCTCACAAAGTCGACTTTGAGCGGACCCTTTTTTCAAGACTTCAGTTTGTACTAAGCTTGTACCCACAGTTCACCTCTGCTAAAAAAGGAAAATCAATCTGCAGTGCAGTCTTTCATCTGTGAATAGGTCACCCAATGGCATATGAAAATCGTCTCCGCCTTCCTTCCAGTTTACTTGCGTCTCCTCAGTCTGTACTCCCTGGAGATTCCCTCAGCTGTAGCAGCAGGTCAAGGTCATGGTTGATGGATAATACTGGGCAAGACGGGGCAGACACTGAGCTCTCCCTCATGTCAGAGCTTTAGGACTTATTCTTTTATTGAGCTCTCATTGGTAAACTTGCTCCCTTCCCTTAGATGTGGGAATTAAATGAGGACACCTGGGATCACACCGCTTCTTCTTTTTGCTGCCAGGTGATTCTGTGTAGGGTCATGGTCATCAAAGATTCAGACCAGTGGGAAAACAGGCCTGGCTCTCATTCATGTCTCAGGTTTGAACCATCAAATCTTTGAGCTTTTCTGTTGAGACCCCATTTTTCCAGTCTTAGGAATATTGATGGCACTTTTCGCAGCTTTGAAGTGTGTGTCTGGACGTTTTGGCATTTCTAAACTCTGCCCATGATTTCTTTTCTGCTCCTTGACAGTTTATAGAACATAGTGTACGGCCTTCAAAATACTGCAGAGGACTGAGTGCTTGTGCACCTTGTTGATAATTAGAGCAGTAAATTACAGCGGTGCATGAACGTTGAGGACATACGTAAGTACTTAAGTGAGTCTATAACATTGCATTTTAAATCCCCTGACTATTTATGGGTACATTTTTACAGGAGCTGCCATTTATAGTTTGTCTGCTGGAAAATGACCCATTTTCACTGAGGTTTTTAGAATTAAGAGTTACCAGCAAAGGGTGAAGGAAAGCTGCAATAGGACCCTCGGTCGAATTTTAATTTGGAAAGGTATAGTTTAGAGCACTCTCTTAATTCTTCCAAAATAAAACAAATTTATCAAAAGCAAACCTCCTCAGTGTGGCACCTGCTTAATATTCATTGAATCGTTTAAGCTGCCAAAGCATTTCTTAATTTCACAGAGAAGTTACAGGGCCAAGTCAAACTTGTTAACATTTCACCCTCAAAAGTGAACAAGTGTTTATAAAGCGATAAAGCAGTAAATAACTGTCTCATTTCAATTGTTAATGCATTAACACTCACTATTTAACATTTGTTGGTTGTTTTTCCTTCACAGTTTCTGTCTCTTCCTCCTCCTTTCCTTTTTTCTCAAGACAAGGTCATGAGCTGTCCCTCCGCCCTTCTCTGTTCATTCCGTCCTTCCTCCCTTCCTTCCTTCCGTCATGCTCCATTGAGAAGTTTCTGTGCAATCTCGCTGGTGTTTCCTGGCCTGTGGCGCCTAGTTTCACAAACAGAGCCTGACTTCTCCTTCCGCCACATGGTTGCTAAACAGGTTGTTTAATGAATACAGGTGCTGTGGTTCTGCTCTGGCTATCAGGGAGACATGATCAATACTGTAGGCAAGCTGCGTTTAATTGTCTTTTGTCAACACTGTGGAGGAGAAGGGCACATTCCCTTTACCCCCCACATCTGCCTAACTCGCAGACTTTTATTTCATTGCTACATTCTTGATTCCTTTCAATTGAACAAGAAAAAAGTTAATGTTTTCTTGTTAATGCTTATTGTATGTCAACCTGAAACTTGACTTTGGAAAATAAACATTTTGTTTCAAGTAAAACATAAATGCATCTCTTCGGCATCATTTAGTCTGTAAAATATATCTGTGCATATTGGCAAACATAAACGCTCATACCTATATGTCTTTTGAAAGGCTCATACTTTTGGTTATTGGCCAACAGAAATATCAGTCTGGCTTTAATTACTACTGAGGCCCTGCATAGTTTGGCACCAAGCTACTTGACTGAGCTTCTAAATCATTAGTAATCAGCCATTAGCTTCTGATCATCTCATAAACCCTGGTAGCTATTCTTCAGTCAAGGTGAAGACCAAGGGTGAAAGAGCCTTTGCTGCCAGGGCCCCAACACTCTGGAAGAGCTCAACTGAGGACTTTTCTGTCTTTTCTGTTATCATTTACTTTTAACTGTTATATGAGCTGTTTCACTTGTTGTCCTTGGTTTTGATTTAGTTTTCTTTATTCATGAAGCACTTTGTAATGGCTGGTTAGACAGAAGCTATATAAATAAATAATTCATATTATTATTGTAAGTTTAGGGAGAACTTCAGAAACAAACTATATATGGTTAGTGTCATCAATTTTGTTTTATCTGTGTGAGAGCTGAGAAAAAACCTGTTTGCATACTGAGGCATTTAATAAGTTTTGGATGCGTGAGTATTATATTGTAGCCTATAGTGAATATTGTATTTCTACATTTTATTGAAGACTGGATTTCAGAAGAAGCTGTTTAAAATAATAATGACTAACCAATTTACGCACCAGTATTGTTTTCTTGTTTCTAATTTGGAGAGTTACACATTTCTGTGCTTTATTTGAGCTATTCCAGCCATCCTAAGCCATTTTTTAAATTGCTGTGCTCTGTGTCTGTAAGCCAAATTCATGATGACACAGAACTTTAGACAGTTGAGGTCATTCGGTGATTTCACCAGAAGGTG